CCCAATTTGTGGAATTTCTCTTCAACTTTTGAGGAATTCGCAAGATTGGCATTGGCAACCCTGATATGTATGTACTGCGCGTTTGTGCACAATTTGTTTATTTATTACAGCTTTATGTATTACAGTATATTTTGCTTAGCTGCACATCCTTCTTTGCACGAAAAACTTGTGGACGTAACCGAAAAAGGCACTTAAGCGAATTTTCTTTACTACTTCAATGAGGAAGGTATCCGAATCCCTATGAAACCAAATATTGGCGGAGCACTTACCATGTAGAAATTACTGCAAGCGAAATTTTTACCGAATGTTATCTAATTATCTATATAACTACATAAATTTATAGCCATTTTCGTTGTTCTGCGAGATGAGCAAAATAAATAAAAGGTTGTAAAATTAGGTAATTGTAGGGCCAGTGCAGGTAAACGTAATACTTTCATTGATAATTGATACTAGTCGCACAATTTTTAAGACAAGGTATCGCCAATGTGCAGGTATGTTGAATGCATCTATCGGAGCAGTTTCCTTATAAATGTTAAAAATTATGCTTTTGAGGCGCATTTTGGGGTATGTATCTTAAATGTGCACTTAAGCATAGAGGCAGCAAAGCAAAATATACTGTATACAGCTTTAAAATCATACTATTTCATAAGGTTCGAGAAACCTAATAATTACCGCAATAATACAAGCTTATTGGCATAGACTAATGAACTTAACGTATTCCCAAAGAAAAAAGTCGAGAGATGTTTTTTGTGGACATAATAGCATTCCATCGATATGTATGTAATACCTCTCCATGGTAATAAACAGGGATGCCGACAAAATACAGGCGTCTTACCAGATGTGGCAGAAAAACTGTACTAGTACGGTGCTGCCCTAATGAACAACCAAATAGTAGGAGCGTTCCTTATCTCCCAGAAATAGTCAGAAAAAGTCCGAAGTAGTCAGATTTAGTCCAAAAAGCGTTCCTTAACTCGGAAATGACAGCAAAGATGAGAGAGCAACAGTCAGTGAGAGTGACTCTCATTAGTCGGAAGTAGTCAGATTTAGTCAGAAGAATTTTTTCTGGCAAAATCCTGAAAAGTGTCAAATATGTTGTACATATGTGTATACATGCTGCCAAATATTAAGTTTGAATACAAAAAAATATTAAAATCATTCTTCATTTATTTACATATTGGGTTTAATTTTACTCATTTACGCCACCGTACATTTATTGTTGTGTGAGGATTTCACAAGCCCACCGATTGGTTTCATTTAAATGCATTTCATTTTATCGCTAAATGAAGAATTCCCGCTAATTTTTGTATTTAGCTTTGATGACCTGAATATGTTTTTGTCGTCGGCAAGTATAGCTGAACCCATTTCGTTCTCTAGTTTCTGACTCTATTTCTTTCGCTCTCTATAAGCTCAACATTTCTTCCTAAGGACATTGCTTAACTTTTGCTTGCTCCTTCCAGCATTTTGTCATTAATTTCTCTCTGTGTTGAAGCGCAGGCGTTATGGCTGAGAACTCAAATTCATATACAAACTTATGTATGTACATAACTATGCGTTTATAGAGAGATTTGTATTGGTTCCCAACAGTATCCTCCAGCTAGAAAACTGCACCGCGAACACTGGCTGGGTTAAACAACTCATTCTAGAGATTTTATTTTATATTTTTATTTCAATATGTAATTCAGCACTTATCAATCAACTATTTAACTAAATTTTACCGGAAAGTTTTTCTTTGTTTAGACTTTTTACATCGATCAAGACAAACTAACTCCAAAATTATTGATTTCTAGAAAGAAATGAAGTCAGAGCTGCCAGAGAACAGTGAAACGGTCAAGGTTACCATTTTATTAAAATTAGCACCGAAAACAGCACTACTTGTTCGGTAAAATTTTCAGGCATAGATTGCTAAACTGAGTTTCGTGTCATTTTTCGTACGGAATGTGGTAATGAATTTGTAGGCGCTTACCTCAAATACTTACTGCTGGGTTATTTATGTAAGTTTCTCAGATTGTGTGCTTGCTGACCGCACTTATAACGGACTTGTGCTCAATTTTGCCTGTGCAAGTTATGTGATTGTGAGCGCGCATATTGTAGACTTCTCAAGCACGTAAAATTAGGGTTAAATTTTATGGTCGGAAAAGCAAAACAATTACACCACTAGGATAAAATCAAACAACGTCCTTAGCGATTGCAATATGTTTGGCGAGTGTTTAGAAAAACTTCTAAACTCAAAAATGAATTTGAAAGAAGTTTATTTGGATTTGAAATCTAAAATAAAGCAACAAAGTGCTAGAGTTTTGATAAATAAAATCTTCATCTGCCAAAATTATGTACTTATGTATGTTAGACTGGTTCAAAAATCCCTTGTGAAAATATTTTCGGTTTTTCCAAATCCCTTGTGAAATATTTTCGGTATAGTGAAAAAAGACGCCTGTCAAAGGCGCAGCCCTTTTTATTACGGTCGCTAATCGCGAATTTCTATTTTCCATATACACTTTTATGTACATACATATTTATGTAGATATATAATAACAATTTTACTTTTGAAATTCTATTAGTCGTTCTAAAGACAACGTACCGGAATAAGCGATATTTATTTTGCAAAGAAATTGAAGGCCCTAAAAATGTATATTTTGGTTTTTCCATAAATTCAATGAATTTTATTATTCAAGGTTAAAGATAACCATATAAAAAATGTATAATTTTTTTAAATTTTCGACAAAATCTTACAACTTATCTACTTATTATTTGGCACTACATACAACCGTTTGTTGGTTTGCAGCCAACGCAATCGTTTTTTTTTTAACCGACTTCATAAAAGGAGAAGACTATCAATTCGTTGGAATATTATTTTTTAATTATTTTTTTTTAGCTTTTGATGTTAATCATCCCTGTTTTTATAATGCTTGTCAAAAAACTGTAAAAAAAAAAATCAAACAAACCCATTGAGGTGCGAGTCACCTTTTCAAAAGTCTAGTTGATGATAATACTAATTGCAATCAAACGGTATCTGTTCATTAAAAAAAAAATAGTGCATTGAAATGTTAAGAACCACTGGGGTTTTGCTTGAGAGAAGTTGTACTAATCAGCGATGTAACGAAGATATTTATTCTGAGGGTGGCATACGTTACTCAAAAAAGTCAAGTTAATGATAACATTGATTACCCCAAGCAAAAGTAAATTTTACATATAAAAAATATACTCACAAAACTTGGGGCCAAATATAGTAAAACTGTGTTTTTAGTTTTTCTCTCCGGCGATAGAATGTTTTTAAAGGACTTTAAAGTTTCAAAGATATGATTTGTTTCAAAACTTATTTAAAAAATTCAGTGCTATGTAGAATAAATATATGGGTACCAAATGAAAGAGTCAATTTTGGAGAATTGAAAGGTATTCAATTTTTTGGTGCATAAAGACGAATAGGTATTGAACATGTCCTTTTAAAATTTTACGCTTGAGTTTCCTTGCAAATTTTAAGTTTTTATTTTTGAACGAATCATAGGTTAAGGATTAATATACCAGCGACCACATCCTCGAATTTCGTCCTTCCACTTTAATAGCTTACAAAAATGAAAAACAATTAAAAATCAACGCGAACTCTTAGCGACTTACAACTTGCACTTTATTATACTAAAATTTAGTAATCTATAAAACTGCATACCCAAAATTTTTATAAAAACTAAAAACAAAAAAAATTCTTTTAGTAAAATTTTTTTATAACATTTCAAATTATTACTTTTTAATTTTTTTTTTTTTTGTTTTAAGAGAACCCTACAATGGTTTTAACTAGTTTTTATTATGAAACTTTTATTAGCTGGAACAGGAGAATCGGTCTTCTTCAAAATTGGCGCATTCTCTGCACATTGCACTAAAAAATTTAATACAAACAAATAAAAATTCGAAAATTGGGCTCAACTAGTCTCTTGCAAATTTTATTAGCTTTCATTAAACAAAAAAAATTATCAAATTGGTTGAGAAATGAAGGCTCCAGTGAATTATGAACATTAAATCCCATTTATTGACCACTGTGCAGCGCGACTGAATTGTATTGATGAGCAGCATTTGGTTCCGCGAAAACTTTCGGGTTTTGGTCCAGGTCATGTCACGGTTGGCGCACAATGGAATGTAGTGTTGAGTCAAAACAACAAATGAAGGACAAATATAATATCGTATGCTCAAAAATTATTGAGAGTTCGGCAGGCTGTCAGAGAGAAAATGATGGAGAGATTTTCCCGCCTTTCCAATAAATTTGGGGCAGGGCGCGGGCACTTTGGGCGAGAGTTACAATATACTTGAAAAAAAAAAAAAAACTGCCCCAATGAAAGTGGGCGTTGTTCCAAGAGCGATAGCTCCGTAGAATATTAAGAGACCATCAGGCTATTTAGGTTAGGTATTTCAAAGGTAATAATTATTCAGGAGTATATATGTCGCGCGTTAATTTAGAGATATATTTCTTGACGGGCATAAAGCCAGAAGCCCGACTAAGGGAGCATTTTTGCCAGTTTGCCTTTTTGAGGCCTTTTATTTTATTTCCAATTTCCAGCTCCTTTAGTCATTTTATGATTTTTGAAATAGCATTTTTTAATGCTAAAAAAAATAATGGATTCTTCAGGTGTAAACAGAAATTCGAGTTCATCAGGAGAAGAGGACAAGATAGCTATTTTTTTGAGGCCCAGAGAGTAATAAAAAATATGTACATATGTGAAAAATGCAATGCGTAACAAATACTATTTTCAAAGTAAGTTGGGCTCTTTCTCTCTTCTTTTTTAAGTAGCCTATAGCCTTTTCTGGTTGTTTTTAAACTCATATAATTTTTTCATTTATAAACTTCCGGCAACACTGGTGACAAGTGGGGCAGGAGCACCCATGCGGAGCGATTGATTGTGCGCGCCATAAAATACATATTTTACTCTCTATCCTGTATGGAAATATTAACTACATGCTTTCTTTGCTCTCACTTTACTAAAACGCACTCTCATTTTTGGTTTCCATACCATTTCCAGGGGTGGTATGTGGATAACTTTTAGCCGCGATGGATCCCAGTGCTCTACAAAACATGGATCGGGACGCATTGAAAAAGCAAATTGAAAACATGAAATACCAGGCATCGATGGAGCGATGGCCGTTGTCTAAAAGTATTGCAGAGTGAGTATTTAATTTTTGTAAATTTGTTATTGTGATTCAAAAACAAATGATGTTTATTTATTTATAACATAAAGTAAGTCTTGTGCAAAATTTTAAGTGAAAGTAGTAAAATCGTGAAGAAGTGAAAGTGTGAAAAGCTCATAGTAAAGGTGCCCAATATGAAATATAAGAGAACCCAGTACAACGCCTAAATTTGTGCTTCTAAAAACGAAATGCAGGTATACTTCGCTGTGTCTACCTATCGGTCGGCTGAGTGACGAATATGCATATACATACATACTACATATGTATGTAGGTATGTACACATGTGTGCCTCGCTAACTTGTACCTATGTACATATGTATATATCTTATTATTAGCTTTTTGCAGACGAAATGTCTGAGACAATGATGCGAATCGAATAAAACAAGAACACTAAATTGATATATAAGCAAGCATTGATATGTAAATATACTATATGTGCAAACATACATATGTATAGCAAGAAGCACTCCTCTAAACCTATGCAAAATAAAGAAAAAGAAAAGATTCTAAACCGCAGCCGACCATTGCAACTCGCTGTACCACAGCTCAAATTTAAGCCCGACAATGACTTAGCGGGAATGGCTGAACGGGATTGAAGAACGTTAATGCAATAACTCCTTATAAAATGTTGTATAGAAACGATAATAAGCTGAAACAGAAAAGTTGAAAAGCAATCAAATTTGATACCAGCTGATATATGTATGTAATGTACGTCAACAAAAAACAGAAACAAAATAAACTGAATAATTGAAGCTTTATCGTCGATGTTTTTGCAAAATCGCCCATCGACCAGTTGCAACACAGCCTAAATCGCCGTTGTGGCAAAAATGAGATTTGGTAACCCTAAACTTCAGGCATCGAGATTTATGCATACAAATCGTTAAATCGTTATTAAAACGCCAGATTTCTAAAATAATAGCTAGAGAAAATACCGCCTATCAAGGCAATCCTGTAAAATTTGAGTGCCGTTAGATAGGCGGTTTTGCAAAAGCATTGACGTCGTGCTAATCCATAAAAAGTGTTGCGATAGTAAGCGACGGCAATTAATAAATACATATAATGAAATTACCTCATTATACATATGTACTTTTATTTTGTGGTTATAAACAAAATTGGTCGTCGCTTAAGCTACTTTCTTCATATCACGTACAGTATGCAGCCGGCTTATGACTTTTGCCCTTTTAAACGATACAGTTTTGGAAAAGGCTTCGGAGGTATGTATGTATATTGTAATTCTGCGATTACATAAACTACTTATAAAAAATTTCAAGGTCAAAAAATGCTTCACAAATCAGGCTTCGTATGAAAATATCAACCTTTAGCTGCATTTTGTATAGCTGCAATTTTTCTATTCAACAGACCTAGATTTAATATGTATAAAAATTTTTTCATTTAATAGCATATCGCCATCAGAAACAACGACTTGCCTTTTCATTTCCAATTTTCGAAATTGTGTAACGAATGTGAAATTTCCAAAGAAATACAGTTTTAAATGACCGACTTTTGTAATAGTACAGTAAAAATTATATAAAAAATTGGTCATCTCGACATTTTTGGCAAGGTCCATGAATCGTTTCAGTTTACTGACAGAAGGAAAAAGAACTTTGTTTTTTTTCGAAAAATACAGTTAAACAAAAAATGTGATATAATCAAAATGTGTTCAACAAAGTGTGATAGGAATTTGAAATTGCTCTCAGAAGAACCCTCCTATAAAGTCAAATTGAAAAATTTGTTTATGAATTTTGAATCGCTTGTTTATATTTTTTGGCATAATACTACCTTAAGAGAGATCCTACCTGAGTTGTCAATCACACCTTATTTACTACACCTTGGATATAATTCATATGAAGAAAGTAATGTTCAAAAAATATTTTGTATGAATTGTATCTGAATGCTTTTTAGATGGTGAAAACATAGCTGGAAAACCTTAAAATGTTTGCATGGAACCATGGCGAACTAAACAGGTGAAGTTATAAAACAGCTTTCTCGCTTTATTTTCTGACATTCGGCTGCCTTATAGTTCAATTTTTCAAAGAAGGCAGTGTCAAAATATTTCTTCTCACCCTAATATTACTTCACCTGGTATAATTCCACCATACGGGGGATGCACGCAATAATTCTCATTACTTGGACATTAAAAAGCAGTTTCAGAAGTGAACTAGTGTCATTTTATTATTATTCTTTTTTCTAAACGGTTATAATGCAACCTGTGCATAATCGCGAAAGGAGGGGAGTGGACGGGGGACGCGCCGCGACGCTGGGCACTTTCAAAATTGTATACGCGAATGTGAAAAATATGACATTCGAAGCATCCCTAATACATACATACCTATGCATGTAAATTGCGTTGATCTAAAAAAACAATGAATTAACTATCTGGATTGTTATGCACACGTCACTCATACGCAGAGGAGTACACAATCTTTTATCGGCTTTATAATAAACTTTCATATCTACCGTTATGCATGAAATAAAAGTTTCCATAGACAAAAATTACAGATAAATGAAATGTAGTCATTTAAGAAGATAGTGATAATTAAAGCATATTTAATTTAATGTCGTTGTCTTGAAATGACCCTTGAGTTAATTTTTTCGGGTTTCGAATTATTAAAACATTAGACAATCGTGAAAAATCACCATCTCCATCGAAAACCAGAAAGCGAGTAAAATTAACGTTAAAACTCTTTTTAACATTTTTTATTATTTTTGAAAGTTGAGCACATCTTGTGTTTGTAGAATTTTTTGTTAAACAGCCGACTTCAATTCTCATATAAAAATTTAAGAGTAACGTTAATTTTTTCATGATCCAATGATCGGATATAAACCAAACTACAGACGACCCGTAAAGGTAACATCTTTCCGATAAAAAAAAAGGATTATTGAAATCGGTTCACCTGGTCCAAAGTTATACGGTAGCATACATAAAAAATATTCTTACGAATTGATAACATTTTTTTGAAGTCGGTTAAAAATTAATTTTATGTAAATAAACTGCAAAGTATGAAACTTTAAAAAGTGTATTTGATTATTACATACTGTACATAAATAAAGTGCATAAATGGATTTTAAAAAGCATATTATTTCAAGCGAATTTGCAGTATTTTCTGATGATATATCTCTAGAAGTATAAACCCCTCCCACAATATATTCCTGAGTGCGCCCCTAATATCTACGTTTATTAATCTCTAAGTACGCACATATGTACATATGTATGTAGTTTTTTTTTTAAATCAAAATTAAATGTTATTTTAGGACCTACATATATAATTTCTTATGTATACCTCGTTTCCAACAATGAATTACAAATTTCGGAATCAATTATTTTTTTCCGACATAACCGGAATTAACGGATTAGTTCTCCTCTCATGTTGCATATTAACATTTTAATAGATCCATCTGCCATCCTAATATTGTTTTCAAGTTGCCAGCGATACCACAACCATGCTGTCAGGTTTTACATTCTTTGTGATTAGCCGCACAATGTGGCTCAATGGGCCGTATGCATAAAAACTAAGCAAATGTTTTTTCATAAAATTTCATAACTTTTAATTAAATTTACTTGAATAAATCGAGTGAATAGTCTGAAATTTTAAGAAACTGAAATTGCTTTGTTTTTATTCATACGGCCCAATGAGTCGGACTTAACGGTTGACTTTGGGTATGCCATAATACTTTCAAGTACCGCCCAGCGCTACACAAAGCAAAAGGCTGAGATCAGCACTGCGGAAATATTGTCAAGAAGAACGAAAGAAAAACGCTAGTGTACTATGTATGTATGTACATTAGGGCGGAGTAATTTGTTCGGAGCAAAATTTTCGAAGAAAGTGTATAGCAAATTAAAATTTCACGATTAATTCTAAGCAAAAATGGCTAACAAGCTATATACCAAAAACGACGTTTGACGCTCCCAATTTTCAAAAGAAAAAGCAGTATATTGTATCAAGAAGACACAAAATTTTATAAATGAAAAATTAATTTCGTTCAGAAAAAGTTAGAATACACCGATTTTTCTTTTAAAAATTGGGAGCGTCAAACGTCGTTTTTGGTATATAGTTTGTTCACCATTTTTGCTTAGAATCGAACGTAGAATGCAAATTTGGCATACACTTTTTCCAAATCTAAGTTACTCCACCCTAATGTACATATGTACATGAATATATCTGCATATGTACGAATATGGACACGGTTGACGAAAGTTGCACCACTAAATGGGCTATAGAAACCAAATACGTGTATATGTACATATGTACGTAGATTCGTAAGTTTTCCTCGAAAATTTATCGCCTTCGTTTAAGCAAGTAGGACAAGTGCTGCCACTCGTGTTGAATTGTTTTCATGTTGTTGCTGCATTTACCCCATCCTATTGTTATTTTGCATAAAATGTTACATTAATGCAAGCTCATACGTTATTATTCGATGCCTTTGCTTTTTACTTTTCTCAGTTTGCTTTATATGTATGTATGTACATATATACACATGTATGTATGTAGGTATGTAACTTGAATTTTAACGAACAACAAGGCGCAAAGCAATTCTTAAGCACAATCGCTAAAGCGGAGTTACAGCGGCTCGACTTATTCCTTATATGTATGTAGATACACTTGGGGTATTTACAACGGTGTCGTAAGTGTCGTATTGTTGTATATCGTAAACTTTAAACGCTTTAACAACATATTAAGGGGTTCGAAAAGTACCATAAAAGCTATATTATGAATTTTCGTAGTATTGAAAAACAGTTGGTCGTGGTTTAAAATTCAATAAACGTTTATTTGAGCTTTTAATGTTTACGACATACAACAATACGACACTTACGACACCGTTGTGAATCCCTCAACTCTGACATTATTTCCGTCTTATACACTCTCTGCCTTCTCACCATTTTTCTTGTAACTAAATACAATACTCACAATAGGGGTATTCTCGGCACCACATACATAAATCCAAATTTCAAACTTCGTACAAAAATTATAAAAATTCAGCAAGCTTTAACCATTGCACCTAAGAGCTTTACACTTTTTATAATTTTAGACGAATTGAGCAAATATTAGAAGTACTCATTGCAACTAAAATCTTAAAAAATTTTGGTTTTTTAATTTCTTTATTTTGATGATTTACATACAGTTGCGGTAAAAAATAGCACCAAAAATGCACAATGATATGGTTTCAAATTATGTTTATTTATTTACTTTTAATACTTTTAATTTAAAATATACTTGTAATTCGGTCTATAACACCCTCCGACAAAATCTAACTTTTTTTTGTACATATGAGAAAAAAGCACTTATGTTCGAAATTTGCCGCAGCATGTAATTTTTTTTTAATCGGCATTAAAGTTTGCACTTAGCGCTGATGATCGTAAATAAATTACGCAACTTAAGAAAATTTTCATAAATTCTCATAACGTAAACAAAAATGGACGCTGGCAAGGTTTCCAAAGGTAAAATATTAATTTAAAATTTAATTAAAGTGTTTAGTTTAGCAGAAAGAGTGGTCACAATGGCACAGAGAAGAAATTCAACTTTGCCTTGAGATGTGAGAAAAACAAGCAAACCAAATTTGATGACTAATAATCCGAGATTTGACTGTGTAAACGGGGTGATTAAAGAACGAGCTTTGATTGAGATTATAATTACATGTAAACGTAATTTAAGCTAAAGTTCTTTAAACATAATCGTGGTACAAAGCTCAGTAACAATATAAAATAAAATGTTAATAAGCCACAATAAAATTGACAAATACATGGTTTAGGATGAGCCTGCCTGAAACTATACAATACAGCAAATGTATAATGTATAGAATGTACAATAACAACCACGCTGTAAAGTTTAAATAGCGGTAAATCAGCTCCACTACTGGTAGGTTGAATAAGGAAATGAATTAGCAACAAAGAGTTTAGGGGGTGTGCATGGTTAGCGCTTCTGACTTTGCACATCGATGATGCCGGTTCGATCCACGCTGAAGTCTAGTTAAAGAAGTCTGATGAGGAGATCCTCAATATAATTGACAAATTCTAAAATTGCTATTCAATTTCAATATTTTCGAACGATATCAGTTATAAAAAAAAATTAAGGGTCAGGGACTTTACGATACCTATTTCACTGCACTATGATGTGTGTGACGGGTGTGTTTTCGCTAATGCACCTTGTAAAAGGAGTTTAAACATGCACTAAACGCGAACTAAGGCAAAACCCAGTCAAAATCTATTTTAATGAATCTTCAAAATTACGATAAAAAAAAATTAGAAATAAACACGTTAAACATAATAGTTGCGATCCCGTACGAGTCCGGACTAGTCAGAAATAGTGAGAATCAGTCAGATTTTACTGGAAATCGATCCCGTACTCGGTTCTCTGACTATTGAGAGGACAAAAAAGAGAGTAAATACGGTTCTCTCTCTATCAGAAGTTACCAGTTTTAGTCCGAGAATTTTTTGCTGGTAAATTCTGGTAAATGTGTCAAACGATCAGCTGTAGGTTTTTGGCAACCAAATTGTAAACAAAAGAAAAGTGCACTCTGCTAATTCATGTTGAAAAGTATTTAATTACTTGTTTAAGTGGATTCTAGTGAATTTGAAAGTATTTTTGGTTATTTACATGTGTGAACTGAGTGTGTTTACATACAAAATAAGCAAAAATTTACAAGCAAAATTGGGAGGTTGTGTTGAAGTTGACAAAAGTTACCATTTTTTACTAGAAAGCGATCCCGTACTTTTCAATGTTACTCTCTCGCTCTGAGCGAATTTTTATTTTTTTGACAGTTTTACTAGTCCGAGTCCGAGGAATACGGGATTGCACCTAATAATTGACTACATGAGCATGAGAAGAGAAGAATATACTCGTATACATACATACTACATATGTATGTACATATATAGTACATACATCCTTAGGTTAAGGACTTTTAAGGCTATTGCGAAATTTTCTTTTGTTTCAAAGCCTTTCAAACGTCTCCTTGTTCGGTTTTTCTTACGTGTTCGCATTTTTACTTTTATCCTACATTCATAAGTCGTTGCTAATATTACAAAGGTTAGTGCTTATATGTATGTGCTTTTCGTTTTCATCTTTCATTCCTGTTCAAGTGCACTCGGCAGAAGCGTTTCGGTTTTTTGCGGACTGTGCATTCGTATCTACTTATTCCTTTTATATACATATGTATGTATTCTTACATTGCATTCGTCGTACAAATAAATATATCTCATAGTGCATACTTTGGATAACCTTAGAATCGTCCTCAACGTGCACATTTTGTAAACACACTACTATGTAAATGGAGACATATGTATATTGTATATTAAGAGGGTATTTAGGTCCAATAGTAAAAGTCCTTTTCAAATTTATAACCAAAGGATGCTGTTTTAAACTTTTGCTATACAATTCTTGAAGAACGTTAACGTCGCTCGGACACAAATATTTGCTTTATAGAAAACATATTAAATTTGACCGTCGAGCAAGAAACATTGATTTTTGTTAATTTGAAGCGCATCCCTACAAAATGTATATAAATACAATTTCTTATGCATAAAAAGTCCAGCAGCCATAAATAAGGATGAAACGATAATCGATACTTTTCGTTCGATACCAAGTAATTTTGGTATCGATAAATTTGAACCAAGTACTGAGTGGGTATCGAAAAACAAATACTCCTATGGAAAGTCTATACTAAGGCAAATTTGGCTTCGGCAATTTTTCCTCCACTATTATTCCTAAGCGCCTTTTTCTTCATGGCTGCTTAATTGGCAGCATAAACCGCGAGAAGGCGCAAAGTCGATATAATGCAAAGAATGTACGCTCCAATCACGATGAAGCGGACAAAGGTGACACCGTAAGACATACCGCTACTTTGGTTTTGTCGATTTTGACAATTCTGATCTAAAAGTAAACGACGCCTCATAGACATTAAATGCACAGAAATGCACTAATACTTCCACAAAAAATACCCTTTTTCCAAAAAATCACATTTTCCTTATTAAATCTTATTCTAAAAACTATATTTATATGGCCTTATTCATAAAAATAAAATAGGCTTAAATAGCTTTATAAAGTGACATTTTAAAACAAATTTTCGTTTTATAAAGCAATTAAAGTCTTCTTAATTTTTTATTAATGTAAAATTTAGCCTTTCGAAAAGTTTAATATTAAGAAAATTGGCTCTTCGCGGCAACACCCAATTCGGCTTTGTTTACATTTTGTTCACAAATGTCATCGCCGCCAAGACGGCGCAATCTCTAATTGCTTCACCAAAGTCGATATAATGCGACGTATACAAGGCCCAAATGTTCGAGTGGGAGTGTAAACTGGATGAATGCTCAGTACAGACGTTTCAACGCGATGTTAAACTCACAGAGTAACTCTATTAGATCCCGTTCACTTGAGATGCGCTTAACCCGCGTTTGTTACTAACACCTAATGGAATTTACGTGCGTTTAAGTCGCGTTAGCATGGGGACACCTTGAGTAAAATGCAATGAAATACGCGTAGATGTAAACGCATGTTTAGCTCCCGTCATTTAAACAGGGCTTTATTCTTCGCGCTGAAACGACTAGCGGAAAATACTACAGGCAAATAAGTCTAGCTCTGTTATTGAAGAAAAGAAACAAAGAAGAAAAAGAGCTGATTGCAAAAAAATACTAAGCAGGGATCACACGATTTGAGATTTGTGCATTTTGATAGTTATAGAATGTGGTTATTTGGATTTTTTTTTTATTGAGCTGAACTCATTATCGATCAAAATTTCTAGACACACCAGTCTATGGTCGGTCAAACCAGATATTAGTTAACTTATGACCCAAAAAATTAAATTTAACCCATTTAGTTCATTCGGAATACCGTCATACCAAGAGTATCGATATGAGTAGGTTTGGATACTTTAGATCCGACATTTTTGTGCAACTCCTTGGATATACGCTTGCATAAGTCTTTGTCATGATAATGGAAAATATATGTTTGAAGCTTTCAAAATTTTAGCAAGCTAACATTTTACAAATACTTATGTAAGCACAAGAAATATATATAAATGGATGAATGGCAAAGAATAGCCTTATAGCGTCAGGCTTATCCTTAGTACGTTAATTTTTTCACATACATACATACATATATATGTATGTACATACTACTTATAATTCCTTGAGTATTATCTCTTTATTTTAACGTACTGTTTTTATTCCTTTTTTTTCCAGAATGCGATCGTTCATCGAGGAGAATGAAAAAAACGACCCTCTAATTAATGCCCCGGATAAAAAGAACAATCCGTGGGCTGAAAAAGGAAAATGCGTTCTTATGTAATATTATCGCAAACCACAACAATACCATACAAACATTCATAAGTTTCCCATTTACTACTATAATAACCACAATGCTACTAATATTCGTAATAACACCGTTAAGTATAGCGAAAACAAAAGCAGAGAATCAAAAAAATTTAGAAAGAAAGCTAAGTCCCAACAAACAAGAGAACAGTTTCAAAATGAAAGCAACAGCAGCAATAATAACAATAAACCAAATCGGCAGCAACCAAACAGCTGCGAATTCGCGTGTGAAGAGAGAAACGGAGGACAAAATAACCGCATTAATTCCCTAGATCCTGAAAATATTCAATTAGAACACGGTATTGAAGAAATCGAAGATGATAGTGGAGACGACGAAAGTGAAGTCAATCAAGATATTTTAAATGCTAATATCGCGGCATTAAGTTATAGTAATAATTATTACAATAACAATAATAATTACCACTATTATAACTACAACTTGAATTACAATCAACACCTTTACGAACAATCCCAATCTAAAACGCAAACGCTAATACGTCAGCTGAAACGGCGCACTTTACATGAAATCTTACAACGACCGGTTCTTATACAAATCGTGGCACTTTTCATGTGGTTTCACGGAAAATTCTGGAAATTTTATTATGAGACACTGACTCGAAGATTACAGTGAGATAAGAAGAAGAAGACACGGAACTTTGTGGGCGTCTGAAACCAGAAATACTAATTTTTGCGTTGAGGGCTTTTGTTGCACATTAAAAACTTGCTGCTCCAGGGCCGAATTCACTTTTCAAACAATGTCATGTGGAAGGATTCTTCAGATATTTTACAGCTTTTTATATCACCAACTTCTTCAAGAAGCAGAGTATAAAGGAAAAGATTCAGTATTTCATCTTGACGACCGCTCTTGTGAATGTTGCAAATTTATATCAACAAGAATGTAGATATACATTTCTATTTACTTTCCGTGCGTTTTCAAACTAATTTTATATACATATTTACTAACAAAACTTACTCATATTAATTGTTCAAAATATTTCTTTTAAATGCTTATTCTTCAAAAAAAAAAAAAAAAAAAAACCAGCAACCTTAATTCGCGAAATCGAGAACGAATTGTTCACCTATCTTCAATTTACTTGCATACTACTTTATCTGCAAACTTGCTACATAATAATGAATAAAATGGCCAAAGAATTGCTTTATGCAATCCTATAAACAAAACATAGTGTGACAACTGTACAATAGCTACTAATAGTAATGACTGCTAAATAATTTATCTTAGTTAACCTTTAGTATATTTTTTCTTAACAGTCACTTCCATTATTAACATTTGATATTTTTGGAGTTTTATTTGGCATTTTATATGTTTTCTGGTTTTTATACAACACTGAATATTTTATTTATATTTTGTTTTGCTTGATTTAGAAGCTCCTTTAGTTTTGCATCCGTCACCCACCATCTTCTCTTATCTCTTACCCACATATTAACAAAAAACAAGGCACCTAAAAATTAGCAAATCCACTATTAACATCATCGCTACTAAATATAGGGTTATATGTATCTATGTATATGTAGATATTAGTGTTATTCTTACTACTAAATCGTCTATAAATATATACATACCATAGAGGATAATAAAAGAGACAGCCCCGATCCCACCCTATTTTTCTAGCAATATTAAGAAAATGAAGTGCATACAGTATAAAGAGCACCAAGTACCATGAGTAAAAAATTAATGTACTTTTTAATATAAATATCAGTTTTCAGAAATACAACAAAAGTTAAATTCAACGCAGTGTACTATGTGATACTGTCCTTAAATTTAAAATTTGTATCAAGACGAATTTATATAAGGTGGTAGGTGTGGCGTTTTATTGTCAAAATTTTTTATATCGCTAGTGAGTGAGGGAAAACGCGAGAGTGTTTGTATTTTCTGTCGCTCTTTTTCATTCGGGTACGAATAGCTGAAGTTTGACAATGGCCCACCAAATACATACAAGTAATTGTTGTATTTGTTGAATTGATACCACCTTATATGTTTGCATTCGCATTGATTTGTATAAACGAAATCTTGGATATATTTTCAGCATTGTTCATTTTGTTTAAAACAGTCATCCGCGATGAACACACAACGTCAGCAAAAAGGAAATATTAATAAAATACATATAACCAGTACATAGAAAAAACCGATTAATGTCTTAACTTACAAAAATTGTCAGCGAACAGTTAAATTCGGAAAAATACAAAGCGATTATAGAAATATTTTTGAGAAATTAACTTTTCTGCATACATATGTACGTGATAGATAAATAACCAACAGTTATGTTAAAGAAAGGAACCAAATTGAAACGAAGAAATTTGTCATTTAAAAACACTAAAAACGTAAAAACACTTACTAACTTTTAAAAAAGTTCAGTGTTACATTTTTATTAATTTTAAGAAAACCATAAGTGTATGTACTTTGTTTCGCTAATTTTTATTCTCCTCGACTGTTTTTGGGCACTAACACTCCCTTTTTATACTGAATTAAAAATGTCTAATAATTAAGACGTTTTAGAAGTTATATAGAGTTAACCTCTAAGTAAATAGTTCCTTTTATAAAGTTCATCTATTTATTTACACATATTACGGTCGTGTGTGCAGTAAGTAAATC